AACCTTCCTTAAGACTGAAGCAGTGCAGACTCAGCTAGACGATGGCAGAAACACAGATCTCTAAGTGAATCTGGGATTCTGTGAGCAACTCCATCTGCCTGCCTGCTTTGCTCGATTTGGGGTAAAAGTTGCTCTTTTTTAAATTAAAAAAAAATCAATATTTACATACATGGTGTGTTGCGAGTTTGCTTGCAAGCAAAGTTTATGTGACAGGCTCTCTGAATGAATCTGTGATTCTGTGAGCAACTCAATCTTCCTGCCTGTTTTGCCTGATTTGGGGTAAAAGTTGCTCTTTCTTTATTTTTTTTTAAAAAAACAATATTTATATTAGTATTTATAATATTTACATACAAGCCGTGCCCAGCCGGTCACGTGACCATCAAGCCACGCCCACAAATTAGGCCACGCCCACAGAGCCGGTTGTTAAGAAATTCGAATCCCACCCCTGCCTCTGTGTGCTTGTAAATGTTTGTGTGTGTGTGTGTGAGAGAGAGAGAGAGAGAGAGAGAGAAAGAAAGAAAGAGAGGGAGGGAGAGGGAGGGAGGGAGGGATGGAAGGAGGGAGGTTAGATCAGATCTCTCTCTCTCTCTCTCTCTCTCTCTCTCTCTCTCTCCCACCAACGTCAGCAAGCCACCGTCAGTCAAAATTCATATTAGTGGTCCCCGGGATTTAAAATTATGAGTTCGGTGGTCCCTGAGGTCCAAAAGGTTGGTGACCCCCAGACTAGAGCAGGGTTTTTCCCACCATTGTCCTGATGAAGAGTTTTGTCTCTTGATCGAGGTTTCCAATTTCAACGGGTTCCAAAGCCAGGGGAAAAAAATATAATTGTGAACTCAAAACGCTGTGAAAAAGAGGGAAGGTTCCAATTGCGGCTGCCATCTTGACTTTTGTGACCTTTCCTGCAGACACATACACACACACGCGCACACACAGGAGAACAAATATCAATCCCAGAAGATCCAAGATATGCCAGGCGCTGTTTCGGAAACGAAGCTCTCACTTTTGGGGGAAAGAGGCCCAGAAATCTTCATGAGGAAAATGGACGAAAACGTGATTGATCGATCACTCCAGAGAGAAAGTCTTACCATATAGGTAGTTCTCGACTTTATGACCACAATTTGAGCCCAACATGTCTGCTGTTGAGACATTTGCACAGTGAGTTTTGCCCCATTTTACAGCCTTTCTTGTCGCAGTTGTTAAGTGCCCCATTTTACGACCTTTCTTGCCCCCGTTGTTAAGTGAATCACTGCAGTGGATAAGTTAGTCACCCAGTTGTTAAATGAATCATGCTTCCGCCTCTTGACTTTCCTTGTCAGGAGGGTGCAAAAGGGGATCAACGTGACCCCCGGGGCACGCCGTGACCGACGTAAATATGAGTCAAGTTTCCCAAGCGTCTGAATTTTGGTTGCGTGACCGTGGAGAGGTCGTAAGTGTGAAAAACGGTCACATGTCACTTTTTCCAGAGCAACGTTGCAACTTCAAACGGTCACTAAATGAACCGTTGTACGTCGAGGATTGTTGAATTCGATGGAGTCCGTTAAAATGGAATTCTTAAAAAGTCGGGGGCATATCGGCTGAAGCCTAAGGAAAATCTTTCTTTTCATTCTTTTGGAGGTTGTGTGTGTGTGTGTGTGTGTGTGTGTGTGTCACACAAACACACTCCCCTCTTTTTACAAAGTTTAGGAATGCCCGTTCGATAGATCCTATAAAAACACACACAGGCACCAATGGCTTTGAGCTGAAAACCTAACAAAAATATTTTCATTCTTTTGATGGGTGTGTGTGTGTTTGTATGCATATCGCACAAACACACTCGCCCCTTTTGCAAAGTTTGGGAATGCCTGGTTTGATAGCTTCCGAAGGAGACACACACACATACACAAAAATGGGTTTGCACCAGTGGCTTGCTCCTGGAGTTTGTGTCTATGTGTATGTCTGTGTGTGTGTGTCTGTGTGTGTGTGTGTCTGTGTGTACCACCAGGATGCCTTTCTTTGTTCCCTCTGGGGTGCAAATTCCTTCGGCCCTCCCTCTTTCCTCCTGGACTTTCCCGCTGATCAAATTTATTCTTTGGTTTTTCGTGAGGCTAAGCAGAATTCTGGCAGGCATTGATTGCACGGAGCTGGACGGAATTCCTTCACGGGAATCCAGGACGTTTTCCCAGACGAGGTGCAGAAAACCCGAATAACAGAATAAGCAAGTTGGAAGGGACTTTGGAGGTCTTCTAGTCCACCCCCTTGCTCAAGCAGGAGATCATATGTCATTCCGGACCATTGGCGGTCCAGTCTCTTCTTAAAAGCCTCCAGTGTTGGAGCGCCCATAACTTCTGGTGGCAGGCTGTTCCACTGGTTAATTGTCCTCACTGTCAGGAAATTCCTCCTTAGTTCTAGCTTGTTTCTCTCCTTGAATTAGTTTCCATCCGTTGCTTCTTCAGGGGCTTTAGAGAAGAGGTTGACCCCTCTACTCAAGCTGAGCCAATGGATAACATAGAATAATAGAGCTGGAAGGGTTCTTGGAGGTCATCTAATCAAACCCCCTACCTCAAGCAGGAGACTCTATATATCATTTCAGACAGGTGGCTGTCTAGCCTGTTCTTAATTAAAAGCCTACAGTGATGGAGCAACCACAACTTCTGGTGGCAAGGAGTTCCACTGGTTAATTGTCTTTGTTAACGGCCTTTGATCATCTTAGTTGCTTTTCAGTCACCTTTTTTTGGGGGGGGGGGTCTTACTAGGGTTTTGTAAAGCGGCACTGATATTTCACATGATTTTGATTCTATGCTTGTTTACACAACCCAGGGTTGTATTCGCTTTTTCGGCTGCGGCTGCTGCTGCACACGGCTGGCTCGGGTTCAAGTGATCGTCCACTGGGACTCCAAGGCCCCCCTCACTTACTCTTTTTGAGCCAGATCTTGCCTAATCTTTATTTACTATACCTTTTGATTTTTCCTGCCTAGATGTGAGGCTTTGCTTTTCTCCATAGTAAAATTCGTTTTGCTGGACAGAGGCCATTGTTCCAAGTCTGTCAAAGATCCTTTGGATCCTCAGCTTGTCCTCTGGGGCGTTGGCTACTCCTGCCAGTTTAGTGTCCTCTACAAATTCGGTGAGTCCCCCTTCTCTTCCCTCATTGGTAAAGATATTGAAGAGTACTGGGCCTAAGATGGAGCCTTGTGGTACCCCACTTTCTTGCATGGGGACCTAGTATCGTTAAGGACTACTTGTTGAACACGGGGTCAGCCAACTATGAATCGATCTGGTGGTGATATTGTCTATTCCACTGGTTGCCAACTGGTGGGCTGCGAGAAAATGTTGGTGGTTTGCAGAGAAACGTTACCTCCAGAGCACCCCTAAAACCAATTAATCCAGGCTGTGTGGGTACACAAGGCTGCGCCACCCACATGGCCCACAGGTACATAAGGCTTGTGTGGCTTGCATTGTGAACACCATGAGGTAATGGCGGGAGGGGGAGAAGGGAACTTGCCCCACACGCCTGGCCTGGCCCCTGGGCTGCTTCTTTCTTCTGCTGCTTTTGGCTGCATGCAAGGAAAGCAGCAAAAGTTTTTCTTTCTCTCCCCCAAACTCTGCCAGGAATGAGTCTTTGGGACCCTGAAAAGCCTCCTGCCCCAAGAGGCTGCACTGGCAAAGACTCGTTTCTGGCAGAGTTTGGGGGAAGAGAAAGACTTTTGCGGCTTCTGCTGCTTTCTTTGCATGAAGTCAAAAGTCTCTCTCTCCCTGAGAACGGAGCTGGAGACAGTATCCTTCAATCCCAAATAAAGAACAATCGACTGGTAGGAATACAGGGTGGGGAATTTTCCTGCAGATTTTTGGGGGGATTTTTCCAGGGTCTCTTGATTTGCAGGATTTAAAATTATACATTTGGTGGTCCGAGGTCCAAAAGGTTGGCGACCCCTGATCTATTCCATTTTTCTTGCTTACCAAGTAGATTGTGGGTCTACTTTGTCAAATGCCTTGCTGAAATCTAAGTATACTATGCCCACAGCATTTCACTGGTCTAATAATTTAGTGATTTTATCAAGGAATGAAATAAGATTGGATTTGGCACGATCTGTCTTTAACCAACCCATGCTGACTGCTAGCTATAACTTTATTTGCTTCTAGTTGTTCGCACATGGTTTCTTTCCCAGGATCCTCCGGAGTATTGAGGTTGAGACTGCTTGGTGACTAAGTGAAAAAGTGACTAAGAATCAGTTTTCACACTTATGACCATTGCTATCTGCGTGGTCACGTGGTTTATTCGGATGCTTGACGCCTGACTCACATTTATGACAGTTGGTGTCTCAGGGTCATATGATCCCCTTTTGCGACCTTTGGATGAAAAGTCAACGAGGAATTTGCTTAATAACCCTCTCACTTACTAACTTACCAACTGCAGCGAATTCACTTAACGGCAGCAAGAAAGGTCATAAAAAAGGGGCAAAGCTCACTTCTTTCTCATTTAGTAACAGAAATGTTGAGTTCAATTGTGGTCGTTTTAAGGCGAGGACTACCTATATCACAAATCTAAGGTTTTTTTTCCCCTCACTAGGAATAGTATTTGGTAAATCTTCAAATAAGCTGAGGTAAATTTACTTGGGGGAAGTTTAAAAAAAAACAAAAACAAAAACTACACATCACTTGTGCAACCAGCTTCGTTAGAACAACCCAGCAAAATAAAATTCCGGTTTATTGTTGGACAATATTGTTTTCACACATACATCAAACAGGCCAAAAAGAAGAAGAAAAAAAAAAATTAACAGCAACTCCTTAGACAAAAATAAAAAGAACGAAAAGGAAAAAAAAAACAAAAGGAAAAAATCTTTTAATCTTTGGCCTTGCCATCTCACAAACCCACTACTTTTATGGTACAGGTAAAAGTACATACACAAAAAAAAAAAGTGTTACTGGAATGCTCGTCATAAACCTTGGACTTTTTTTGCGTGTGTTTTTGAAATTATTATTATTATTATTTTTTTACAAGGTCGTTTTTTTTTTTAGTTTTCTCCTTTGAGATAATGGTTTTTTGGACACGGTCACACCACAAGTAAAGTCAAGAATTATTTTTCGTTTGTTTCGTTTCGTTTATAGGAACAAAGGAAAAACGAAAAGAAAAGCACACTTCAAAAGCCCCCGCCCCCCCCTTTTGGTCAATGGAGATCGCGTTAAAAATGGCTGACCTCATCACAATATGTACAAAAATATAAAATGTAAATAAAAAATACAAACAAATTCTCCTTTTAAAGTTACTTTTAAGAAAGCAAGCTGGGCCTTGAAGTTTTCCCGAGGGGAGGGGAGAAGGGAGGGAGATTTTTTTGGGCTGTTGGGTTTTTATTTTTTTGCTATTTTTTACAAGTTGGGGAAAAAAAATGGCAGCTCTACGGCCACACGGCTTTTACTGGGGTTGGGGTGGATTTTTTGTCTGTTTGCTCTACTTTATGACGGTGACCATTAGCAACAAGGGGGAAACGTGTTTTTTTTTTTTTTTCGTTTTTGTAACAGGAAGTTTTTCAAAGGTGAAAGAAGTTCACGCTGGCCTTTTTTCTTAAAAAAATTCTTTTCCCTCTTTTCTTAAGTTTAAAAAAAAGTTGGTTCTTTTTCTTTTTTTATTATTCTACTCCCTAGTCGTCTTCGTCGGTTTTCTGCTTCTTCGGATCGACGTCGTCGTCCTGTAAAAGGAAGGCGGGGGAAAAAATAAATGGGTCAGAGAGCTCAGATCTGGGAATTTTCATTAATTATAAATTAAATGACCCCCCCCCCCCGTTCAGCTGCTCCTGAAATCGGGTTTTCGAGGCAGGACCCATCCTCCAACCAGAAGAGAAACTCTTGTCGCTCGGGGGTTGAGCTGATCTTGGCGGTTTTCCTTGCAGATGTTTCATGACCCAACTAGGTAACATCATCAGTGCTAGCAGGGAGCGGGGTTTGCTCTCATTTTATATACAATGGCTTGCTTGCCCGGTTTGCTTTTGGTGGAGTTATTATGGCGATTCCTTTATTAGGCTGCTGTTTACCATTGATGGTTGGTCTAGTATGAAACTCCCTTCTAACACTGATGACATTCTCTACTTGGGTCATGAGACGTCTGCAAAAAAACTACCCAATTCGGACAGCATCAAGGATTCCAGTCTTCCTCTTTGCACTGATAATGTTACCTAATTGGGTCATGAAAAGTCTGCAAGAAAATCGCCAAGCTCAGAGAGCACCAAGGACCCCAACATGACTTCTCCTAGCACTGATGTTACCTAGTCGAGTTTGTTACTCAACAAAACGTCTGCAAGAAAACCACCAAGCTCAGAGAGCTGCAAGGATGACATAGGGGCAAGGGTCTTCAAACTTTGGCAAGTTTAAGACTTGTGGACTTCCAACTCCCAGAATTCCTGAGCTAACATGACTGGAGGAGCAATTCTGGGAGTTGGAAGTCCACAAAGTCTTAAAGCTGTCTCAAGTTTGACGACCCCTGCCATAGGTCCATCTTCCTGTATTTTTCCAGCAAACTATAACAGCACCATCTTCTTGATCCAACAGAATTCTTCGGGGACGTACCAAGCTGTGCAGGAAAAGCATGTGTATCCTTTCACAACCCAATTACCTTCCGGTCCCATTTTCTTTGTGGGGGCTTATCGCACAAGATCTCCCTGCAAGGGACAAAGGCAGTTTCTAAAATTGGTATTTATTTATTTTTTAAAGGCCCCAGTTCTCCACAAATGGCCTTTTCCTAATGGAATTATTATATTTTTTTCTTCTCTGGGTCAGATTACATCCTCCATCTTTTCCTCAGCCATCCTGAGCTCCTGCCTAGAACTCTCTGAGGTAACAATTATGGCTCGGGGCTTTTCTGTCAATGGGTTTTGAAGATTCCTGGGAATGCCAGTTTATGGAAGTGCCCAGAGACCCAGATCTGAAACCTAAATGAAAAAACTACCAGCAGACACTGGGCTCAGGACGATGGGCCTGGCCTAAACAAGCAGGGAGGACTATTTTGAGACTTAGGTAGGCGACTTCAAAAAATGAGATCGGGTGGACTGAAATTAAGGCCATGTTCCATGGTTGGGATGCATCACAGCTTCTTCCAAAGATGGGGAAATTTTGGCATTATATAGGCAGACGGCAGCAAGAATACGCTTTTGTGATTCCCACAAAGGACTAACGGCTGCGAAAGTTGATGGGAGTTAGCAGAGGTGGCTAAATTTGACTGCTTTGATTAAAGAACACCATTTTGTTTCTGCTTGGAACCCGGTTCTGGACTTTGTGCTTGAAGCGAGGGAAAAATATACACATGAAAATTTTAGATTTTGAGTTTTGACAATTGGATAGGTTTGTTTTTATAGAAATGGCTGGTATATATTGATACGTAAAAGTAAAAAGTCGAGGTTTTTGTTACCTGATTTTACCATACCAAATTAGCTGGAAGTGAATTTCTCTTTCTTCTCCACTTTTACCCTACATTTTCCCCCTCGTACTCTTTTTTTTGCCACTATTTTCATTTTTCTTTGCATTTCTGCATTTTATATTTCTACGTATTTTCTTTGCATTTCTGCATTTTATATGTTCTCTGCGTTTCTCTGTTTTATATTTCTCTATATTTTCTTTGCATTTCTGCATTTTATATTTCTGTATATGTTCTTTGCATTTCTCTATTTCGTATTTCTGTATATTTTCTTTGCATTTCTGCATTTTATATTTTGGTAAGCTATTAAAAAACCATGAGCAGTAGAGATGGGAGGCCGGAAGACCAGATGCCCTCACCTCATCGTCCTCAGCTGCCCGTTTTCCGGTCGGACCTTCGGTCTCGTCATCTTCATCGCCGTCTTCTTCTTCGCCTAGAGAAGGAAGGACAACTTGAGAAAGGAGCTCCGGGACCAAACGGCTTCTTCACATCCTCTTCCAAGGCCGATCTCGGCTTAGGCCGGTGTCCTCAAAGCAGGTCTTTGGAGTGTGGTGGGGAGGTTTCCACCTCCCCACCAAACAAGAGATCTAAGAGTTCAGACTCACAGAGTAACAGAGTTGGAAGGGACTTTAGAGGTCTTCTAGCCCAACCCCGTGCCCAAGCAGGAAATCCCGTTTCCACCTCAGCCCAAACCAGGTACCGACGGGAAGCTGCAAATCTGGTGGTCTCCAGGGTAGTCATCCGTAAGTGGAAAAAAAAACCCAGGGGAAAAAAAAAAGGAGCTGCTTCTAGGGAAATGTAGAAACCAAGCAGGCCTTCTGGTTTGACAGCCGTGTTAGGATAACCCCGTAACAGTAGAGTTGGAAGGGACCTCGGAGGTCATCTAGTCAAACCCCGTCCTTGCAGGAAACCTATACTATTTCTGATAAATGGCTGTCCAATTGTGTGTGTGTGTCTGTGTGTGCCAGACCACTGCCAACCTTCCCCCAGTACTGTTCTTTTCCAAATAAAGGTAGTCCCTGACTTACGACCACAGTTGAGGACCCCAACGTTTCCTGTCGCTAAGCAAAGAGTCGCGAAGTGAATTCCGCCCTGTCCCCCTTTTACGGCATTTTTGACGCCACAACAGCTTGTCGTGGGAACCGGCCGCGGTTGAAAAAAAACTGTTGTAAAGTTCACTCCCGGTTCACCCTTGGGACGGGTGGTTTTTGCCTGTCGCCATGGCAACCGACAAGGGGAACTGAATACCACTTGATTTTCGGAGAGGAAAGAAAAAAGCAGACAGATTGAGAGGCTACCCAGGTCCAGTGTTTCTTAGCCACACAACTCTGTGTGTGTGTGTGTGTGTGTGTGTGTGTGTGTGTATGTGTGTGTGTTCTTTAAGGCTCTTGGGATTTAAACCCCGACCCTTCCCGGAGAGGCCAATAATCTGGCTTAAGTGCCACTGGGATCTGCCAGAGATTAGGGTCACCTGAGAATAACTTTTTTCAACCCCCCCCCGCCCCGCAAGATTAGCGTGTCTCCAATTTCTTGGCACACAAAGCCCATCCCCCAGAGGGAGGGGGCCAAGCAGCAGCCCAGACCCATCAGTGGGGGGAGGGGGGGAGAGAAAGGGAGGGGCTGGCAATGCAAGGCACCCCCCCTCTCCTCCACGGCTCCTTCCCGGCCCTCCTTCTCCATCAGTGGGCAGGGTAACTAGGCAACCGTCCCCACCCGGCAACCGAGATGCTCGGAACAACAAGGCGGAGGATGCCAGAGGACTCACGGCGGAGCCAGACCGTCTTTCTGGGCCCAGGAAGAGTCGCCTTGACCGGCGGGCGGGGGGGGGGGGGTTGGCTTAGCAGGCCTGGCAGCTGGCGCTTTTGGCTGGCAGCCGAGCCCCGGGGAGAATGCTCGCTCTCCCCACCCTCCTTGCAAGGCGACGGCTGGGCATTCGAAGCTCCCAAATATTTGCAGCTTTCCAACCTGGGGCATCCAGGAAGGAGCCCCCCCCTTCTTCCCCACGCCAGGTGCTAATACAGGTATAGTCCTCAACTTCCGACGGTTCAGTTACTGTTTGAAGTTACGGCGGCACTGCGGGGGGAGGGGGGGGAGAGAAAGGGACTGTTTTTCACACTCTCGACCGTTTTGCAGCATCCGCCGGGGTGAAGTTTGGGCACTTGGCGACGGACTCGTAGTTATGACGGTCACGGGATCCCCTTTTGCGACCGAGCCAGACTCGCTTAATGACCTAGTGACTTAATTTTAAGAAATGCAAGTGATTCGCTTAATCGCCGCGGCCAAGGATAAACTGGGGTGTGAATTTTGGGTGACTGAAATTCTAGGTTTGGTTATGGTCTTAAGTCGAGGACCAGCTGTAGCGGAGAAAAGGACATTTTTTTCCCTCGGTGCAAAAGGCTAGGGCCACCACTCAAGGAGAGGGCAGCATCATTCACGGGGGACAAAAAAACCCTATTTATTCTTCTTTTTTTTTTTTTAACTCTTTTTGACTCACGAAGATTTAAGCCGAAATGGTTGCAAATTGCCAGCATTCTGGCTAAACCCCGCCCCCCCAAAACCAGGTGTTTCCCTCAGGTACACCGGCCCAGGAATAGCAAATTACAGGACCCTCTGCATTATCTTACAGGTCAAAATAGCAAATTATGGGTAGTCCTTGACTTGCAACCGTTTGTTTAATGACTGAAGTTACAACGGCCCCGAAAAATGCGACTTAGGACTGTGTTTTCTTGCTTATGATCGTTGCAACGTCTCCATGGTTCCGTGATCAAAAGTCAGATGGCTCGTATTTACGATGGCCACAGTATCCCAAGGTCCCGTTTTATGACCTTCTGACAAGCAAAGTCCATGGGGGGGCGGGGGGGACGGGAAGAGAAAGCCTGATTCACTTAACAACCGGGTTATTAATTTAATAACTGCAGTGATTTGCTTAAGGACCGGGTTGCCAACTGCAGAACTCCAGCGATCCACTTAGTGATGACAGTGGCAAGGAAGGTTGTAACACGGGGTAAAGCTCACTTAACCCACGTCTCGCTTAGCAGCGGAAAAAAACGTTAAGTCGAGGACAGCCTGAAAATAGCCTCTCACCCAGCCTTTTCCAGAACTTTCTCGGCGATGGTGCCCGTTTGCGAAAGCCCTTGTCCAGAGAAGCCGGACGGAAGTCCCAACTGGCACCATTTTTTTCTAGACATTTCTAAGCCTGGAAAATTTGTTCTTCTGTTGTGTCTTAGCTCCTCAGCGGCTCCCCTTAGCCGGAATGGCGTTTTTCATTTTTGCCTTTTATTGATCTTAAAACCGTATATGCTTTTATTGGCACTGTAATTTTAATGGGTTTTTATGGCAAGCTGCCCAGGCAGGTTTTGGCTTATCGGGTGGTTTTTTTAAAAAAAAATCTAATAAATGTTCTGCAGCTTCAACTCCAACGGAAGCTCCAGAATGGGCCTCTTTGGTGCCAGAAGGCAGAAACAGTTGGGAAGAGAATGGCAAATAATAAAAATAAATAAAAAAGAGAGTTGGAGGGAAGAGAGAGAGAGAATTGTAGATTAGTATGTAGCTAGATAGAAAGAGGTGATAGGTTGACAGAGATAAATGTAGATTATATAGAGATAGTGATAGATAAGATAGAGATAGAAACAAGGAGGTAGATCTCTATATCTATCCCATCATCATCTTTCTCTAGCTACAGTATCTCTATCATCCCTCTCTTCTCTCTCATTATCTATCTCTCATTCTACCTTTCTTTCATCTGTCATCATTATCATCTTTCTATCTATCTTTCTACCTATCTAATCTATCTATCCATGTATAATCATCTCTAGCTACAATATCTCTATCATCTCTCTCTCATTATCTATCTCTACCTTTCTATCATCTATCACAAATTATTATCTATCTATCTATCTATCTACCAATCTATCCTTCCATAATCATCTCTCTAGCTACAGTATCTCTATCATCTCTTCTCTCTCTCTCATTATCTATCTCTACCTTTCTATCACCTCTCATCATTATCCTCTATCTATCTATCTATCTATCTATCTATCTATCTATCTATCTATCTATCTTTCTTTCTGTCTTTCTATCTATCTATCTATCTATCTATCTATCTATCTATCTATCTATCTATCATCTCTGTCTATCTATCCATCCGTCCAAAGACAGACAGATAGATGAGACAGATAATAGATATAGGTAAGTAGGCAGGTATTTATTTTATTTATTTAATTTATATTGCAGCCTATTCGCCCATGGAAACTCAAGGTGGCTCACACAATGTAAAACCATATTTAAAACAAAAAATAAAAATAAAAAGAATGATAAAAACTAACAAAAAGAATCAAATAAATTAATAAAGTGCAATAGAAATAGTTTGGCCTACTGGGTAAGGCACGAGGCTAGAAAACATAAGATGGTGAGTTCTAGTCCCGCTTTATGCATGAAAGCCGGCTGGGTGACTTTGGACCAATCACCGGGAGACAGTGAGTTCTAGTTCTGCCTTAGTCTGAAAGCCAGCTGGGTGACTTTAAGCCAGTCATCATCAAGAGATAATAAATACTAATCCCCGCTATTCACATGAAAGCCAACTGGATGAGCCAATCGCCAGGAGACAGTGAGTTCTAGTCCCACCTTAGGCAGGAAAGCCAGCTGGGCCTAGTCATTCTCTCAGCCTACCCAGGTGTTGTAGGAAAACAGAACAATGAACAAAACAGAAGGAAAGAAGGTATGTATATTTATGAAAATAAGAAAGGTGGGGCCCAAAAGTACTTCCTGGTCCAGTGGCCTCTTGAAAAAGCACCTTTGGAGCAACTCTGACCTGGATGACTTGAGAGAATCTTTCTAGACAATAAAGGTGGGATAAATAAATAAATAAAAACTATTCCCCCGCCCCCTGCAGAGAGATTCCTGGTTAGAAGAAAAAGTTAAAAATACTAAATCCCGTCCCGTTTAGAAGGAGGCAAGCTTTTGAGTGAATAGTTGCTTTTAATTCCTCTCTTCTCCAGGGAGTTACACCTGGAGACTTTGGTGGATTCCAGCTCTTGGTGCCCAACTTTGCAAAATTGTACACAATCCTATTTTAGCGGTTTTCCCCATGCCGATCGCTCCCGTGGTGTGTAAAAAACACAGAATCGGCTTGTTTGTCATGCTCTATGCCAAAGGGCCACCAGGGGGACCCGGCCTCCTTTCCACCATAGCCAGCTCAGCCTAAATCTTCTCCAGCCAGGCGCCCCTTCCATTGGGGTGGACTACGTTTCCCAAGAAGAGACCAAAAAGAAAAAGGAAAGGAGAAAGGGGAAAGGAAAGGAAAGAAAGAAAGAAAGGAAAGGAAAGAAAGAAAGAAAGGAAAAGGAAGGAAAAAGGAAAGGAAAAAGAAAAAAGGAAAGAAAAAAGAAAAGGAAAGGAGAAAGGGGAAAGGAAAGGAAAGGAAAAAAAGGAAA